TTCTCATACGTGTCTTTTCATAGCTAATTTTGTGTTGAGTGTTCCAGTATCAGGATACCTTTAGAGTGAGACATAAAGAATGATAAATCTTAGAAATATTCTTTCTAAACAGCACATATTTAATTGAGCGAGTAGACATAGTTGCATGGAAACGGGTTCAAATGATGATACTCATAATTTTTAACAACCACAAATAATGCTGTTGCTGAAAATTTGCCTGATTCTCAGATATTACCTGAAATTCACAGCCAAATTGCTAAAACGTTCCATGGCGTTATCGACAACACCTCAGTTTCGAACAAATCGAGCATTAATTTGTCTTAAATCACGACGACTTTTAATAAATACAACGTCACTATGATTTTTGTAACATATTTATGCTGGACATTTTTGAAAAATCCTCGAGTTGGTTAAGGATTTGTTCGATAACGTACGATATTCTCAATTGTAAGAATGATCGATTCATAGCTCTTAAACATTACGTGCTAGCTGATGAATTATTCCAACGTGAAAGATCTGCTGATCTGGTGTCAGTCTTTAATAGATATGGCTACACTTGCCAGTATCAAACTATCGTGAAACTATATCAGGAAGTGGCAAAGAAGAAAGACGATGGTTATCGGCTACCAACATCAGTTCGTCCTGGTTATTTTGTTGTAAAATGTTGTGATAATTTTGATATGAACAGAGATACAGTTCAGGAAAACAACAGTTTTCACTTTATGAACCAGATAATTATTCAAAATCCAGAAAGTTCACTTGATGTTGTGCCAAACCCTACTGATTCAAATGCTACATTGTAGATGGACATTGATACTTATCTCGATGATTTTTCAGTAATAAATCTACCAAACACAAATTTGAACAATGAAAGGTTTTTGAATGGTGATCTAATGAAAGTTCGATACTTCTTCATCTGATTTCTTTTCGCTATAGTGTCTATGATAAGTGACGAAAGACAGCAGAAGCAGCAGATTTTCGAAGCATCTTCGGACGGCCAGCAACATTCAAGTACCTGAACGTTTCAACTGCTACTGACCGCAGATATATACAATACAGGTGCTGCATTAACAACTTCGAGTGAAGCGGCAGCAACGATCTCCACTACGCTATTTAAACCAATTTTAAACAACAGTCTTGATGGCGCGCGCACTGTTGGCGTATGCGTTAGTCAAATTTCGTTGATTTTTCTTTAATCATTCGTGGGGGTATTTTTAAAGGACATGCGGTATAAAATGACGTGATCTATGTTTTGAAAGTTTTATTCAAACGATGTGTATTTTTCGTTCTGCTTAAAAAGTAGAGAACGAAAAAATGGTATTCTCATCGTACGTTCTGTAAGAATACTACTCCATGCCATTGTTGACCGTTTTTTTTGCGACACATTTACCAGCCATTTCAAGACATCGGCATATTGTTGCGTTTTGTTCCCTAGTCCTTGAAGATCCCAGCTCTCAAGCTTGCGCCAACACTTGTCTTCAGATGACCAAATGTGCGATTCTTGATTCGAAATTTCAACAAGAAACTGTACTTGTTGTTGATGAAAAAATTTATACCAATTGTAACAAAGTAATTATCTGATCTTCTACTATGCTTAGATTATATTTGACGTTTTGACCTCTTTTTTCTCTTCTCTTCTTTATTATTGAAGTTTATATTGTTTTTTTTGGTCTTTCAGGTGAAAGATAGTTATAATGTCAATAGTGGCAACAACTGGGGAAATAATCCGTTTCAGGACATTTTTTTAATGCCTGGAGACTTTCACATTATGAAAAACTATATGATTCTTATTTGGCTTGTATTAGATGATATTGGAACCGATGATCTATTTGGTTGCATTCATCACTGGGCTACACTTCGAGCAATTCTCAATGTGTCTCATTTCAATAAGTCCTTCAGATGTGTTAAAGTATTATACACGTCCCTGTACACGTTGATAGTCGAATAGTTTCATACTTATTTAGCATCATCGGCATTGAACATATTAAACGTGAAACAGATGTTTGATAAATGGCGTTCGGATTTGTCTTCGAAATCGATTACGTTTCGTTTTTGGACTTTTATCTTATTTGATTTACTTGACCCACTTATCACTATCTACGTTTCAATCCGATCAGCTGACTTTTCGTCACGGAATGCCGCTATATCGTTAATGCTGCCTATGTTCTTTGGATAAAAAAGACGTAATTATGCCCCATTAGGAGCTAGACATCATGCTGACTTGCAACACGCGTCCAGTTATTTACTTCAGAATTTATCAACAGCACATCATCTCTGTTCGACGTACGAACCGTCCATTTTCTTATTTTGCCATCGATCAGACCATCGAATGTACCATAAACAAGTTTGGGAATGGTTAAGGTGGGATCACTGGTAATTTCAATAACAATTTAATCGAAAAACGGTGTCACACATTTCCTTTTCGTTCGTTGCTATCCAGTGTAACTTCAGAAATTTCCGGTTTCGAAACAACAACAAATACCATTGACAGTCACATTGAATGTTCACCGAATCGTCTGGCACTTCGCAATTCCGATTTATACTTTTATCAAAATTAAAATCAGAGAGTTTATTTACAAATAATGATAAGTAATTACGTATACTATTTACTAGAAAAATTATTTATATTGATACTGTAGAAAATGTGTGTACGATATGTGGCTCTACCATTATGAAAACGTACATTGAAGAACGCTTATTAAAATCAAATATTAAAATTGAAGAGAAAATCGATTCGGGGAAAATACTCCGTATACTTGATACTGATAAATGTGTACGATGATGCTGTTGTGAAAAAAGAAGATAAAACTCCGACTTATAATCAAATTGAAGCATTATTCGGCGTTTATTTTTTATTTATGATTCACGACCGATTAAACTGAATGATATTTTCACCCATGAATTTCCCGAGCAACCAGTTTCATTATGTAACTGTATGTAAATTTAAAATCACCTAACTGGGCTTTAGATCCACATGACAAGAAAAGACCTTCTTAAGTTTTATCAGATAATGACATTAAATATACTAACGAGAATGGAGAGACAATGAATAACAAAGTAAGTTGTGAGCATATTTTTCTTAATCTATTCTTTAAATCACAATCTCACCACTATGTTTCACAAAATATTACTTCTATTTGCCACCTTCTCATAGCTGTCACTGTCTCTCCATTCTCGTTAACATATTTAATGTCATTATCTGATAAAACTTCAGAAGGTCTTTTCTTGTCATCGAAACTACAGTTATTCTTTTCGTCAGTGACTTGAGATTTAAATATAGTATCATAGTGACTACTATGAGTTGAAGATTGTGCTTAATTTCAGATTTCCCAGATGCTGATGAGAATCGTATCGTTTCGTTATCTGTTGTTGAAAAGCATATGGTCGTTGAAATATAATTAGCAAGTAATAATTTCACATGTTCAAACTGTCAGTCTTGTTACCAAAATAATCAGTCAATCGAGTTTCAATATGAGGTCATGATGCTCAATATGATTTATATCTTCTAATTGATCTGTAATCTCGTACAGACTCAGCTAATTCATAAGAACCAGTTTGTTTTAATTCAATGTCGTATAAATGATCTGCAAGCTCCCCTTTCAAGTAAGAGAAACAATGTTACTTTCTTTGATGTGGTTACTAATTGCGGTCCATAAAGATTTTTGTGACTTCTGCTTGTCTTCTAAGATTAACGTGTCATCTGATGTTTCTATCATTTTCTGTGATACACTTGAACTTGCGTCTCCACTGTTTGAGTGTGTTGTTGAATGTTCATATTCAGGTGTCTAGAACTAAATCAATAGATAAAAACCGATAATATATAATTAGACTCGATTTTCGTTACAAACTACTCACTGTACTTTTATCTATAGGTTCAAAATAGTCTTTAACTGATTGTGGCCTTGATTTTTCATTTCAAAAAGACGATATATTTCGTTTATTGGAGCGTCTGATACTTAAAGAGCACAAGAGGTTTTTAGAAATAAATATCATTAGCCGTTATTTTTTTCTTTTTGGACACACTTTAAAGGATGATCTATGGTCATCTAGCAGACTAATATCATTTAATCGACGTGTTCTGGAAATCGCCGTGCAGAACATGCCAGACATTGACCATCTTTTTCCTAAATCGATAACTAGTTTGTCATATGTTTCGCACTGAGCATTGAATGATTGAGGAATTATAGAAGTGTCGTAAAAGTAAAAATCTATTGGTCGAGAAGTCAAACAAAACATCTCTAATTTTAACTAAAAAACTCACCGATGTATTGTAATGGCGTAAGCCAGTGTTAATGGTCACTGAACTCGCTCCATCCAGAAGCCGTTTTCATCTTCAAAACATCCAGTGTCTGGCGTAATGTTATCAAGGGGAAACTGCAGACTTTAGACTTGAGCGGACTTGGGAGGACTTGACCGGAATTCCGGAGACTTTACCGTACTTTAAAGTCCTGAAAGTCTGCTCAAGCCGACAGACTTCGGGAACTTTAAATGATCTGAGAGGACTTTAAAGTCCGCAATTTTTCCCTTGAATGTTATACTCTTTGCCATTAAATAATTCAAGTTTGATGTATTTCAGCATCTTAACAGTTATTTAACTATGGTATGGCAAATATTCTTCGTTACGTTTATATTGTTCATGGGGAAGATGAATATAGTCATCATGCCAGACTATATCTTTGATAGTTCTCTCAGCTCCATTAATTACGCATTTATCAAAGTGCAAATTTTTACGCACGATCACTTTGCCAGGTATTGCTGTAGAGCTGCACAGTTCTTTTCTTCTTCGAATAGCGTTAGCCGTATTTCTGAATTTTCTACTTGAATTCTGCTCTTCATATAATATGCTGTCTTTTGTACGGGTCTACGAAAAATGGTCGAAAGAAAAAACTAATTACACACTGATTATATTATCACACTAATTATATTAATACAATGATGTTATATGAAACTGATAATTGAGACAAATAAGTTAGACAGATGCCAAAGAAAAGTATTGTAGTTTATAAATTATGAGCAAGTCCTTCTAATTGTTGTAGTAATGTTGGACGTGGATGCGTAATTAAATGACCCAGACGTTTACTATAATTTAATTACTTTTTACTTGGTTCAACTTTTTGACCAGAATTAAGCTTAACCAATTGACAATGAATAAAATGTTCTTTGTTCTGTAGACTTTCAATGAAAGCCCAAAGGGTAGGATGCTGACATTGAATGATTGAGTTAAGACGACGATGCCCAGCTTCGGCTGAATTATTCGTGCGCATTGAAAGATTACTGAAAACAGCACTTCCTAGATGATTGTGATTATTAGTTTCGTATAACATTATTGTATTAATATAATTAGTGTGAACTCTGCCTTTACACTTAACAATTCGAGCATATTCACATTTCCAATACGTTTTATCATCACTTGTTTTATCCATGGTGTAAGTAAAGCCTTTACATAGTAACAAAGGTTTGTTCTTTTGAGTTGTGCTGACGAGGGAAGGGCTCCAGGTGTTTTCCTGAGATTTCAAAGCAATGTACCCCACTTTGCTAATTTAAGCATGCTGATTACGAATCTGAAAACCATTCATGGTCTCGTTCAATCCTTCAAGAGTTATAAGCATTTTATTTAATAGTAGCGAAAAGTACCATATTTTGAAAAAATCACAGCTGGACTTACCATAGAAATGTTCAATAGAGCTAAGAGATATGCCAGTCTACAGATAAACACCTTAGCTATAAAATGATATGTGTTTTAGCTTCAGAGAACGTTTGATTGTTAAGTTAAAAAAATTTTAAAATGTTGCACATTTTCCACTTGTTTTATGTTTCTTTTTGAAAATGTTTAGAAAAATTTGCCATATATTACCACAAGATTTCATTCTGTTGCATCATGGCAGTCGTGGTGACAACCAAGCTAAAACACATATCATTTTATAGCTAAGGTGTTTATCTGTCGAATGGCATATCTCTCAGCTCTATCGAACATTTCTATGAAAAGCTGTGATGTTTTCAAAATATGGTACTTTTCGCTACTATTAAAATAAAATGCTTATAACTCTTGAAGGACTGAGACTGAACGGGAGCACGAATGGTTTTCAGATTCGTAATCAGCATCCTTAAATTAGCAAAGTGGGGTACATTGCTTTGAAATCCCAGGGAAACACATGGGAACCTTCCCTCGTGAGTGTAAATGTAGTCATTTTGGAAGAAAAGTATAGTCCACTCTTCTGCAATAGCTCTATATATAGTCTCGAAACAACCTGCTGATCTATAATTTTAATATCAAAAGAAATTATAGTCTCTAATAGTTTGCTAACACCGGAGAAATATCTGCTTCTTTGAAGCAATCGACAGATTCCTAAGTAACTTCGGTCTGCTCTTCTTTTTCGCATCTGTTTAACTTATTCGTCTTAATGAAAGTCTTTTCTTTAAAAACAGCTTTTATTGTTTTATTACAAATTTCTCTACTAATTTTCGAAGCGACTATATTTCTTAGCGGCCATATTTCAATTTTTCGCGACCAATTTTCGCTTACCCCTTCTGTACTATGACAGTGTCAATAGCTTTGAGCATGTAAATTGGTTGTCTATTCTCGCTACTTTTCCTTTGATGCATCTCATGATTTTTGTGTTGCACTTGCATGCGCGAAAGATAAACATAGACGGCGTCTGAGAATGTGGTAGCTAGCTCTTCTTCTACCGGTCTATACGTATGAAGGTTTAATTCTTTTTTAACGCAATGTGTCAGTAGTAAATGTTCATCTTCTGTCGATAAGACACCTAAAACAGATAAATACAATCAGATAAATTTACGATGAATTTTTCTACTACTCTCGCTTACCTACTGTTATTCGACAAAGCGCTCCAAAGAAGTCGGCATCCTCTTGTTGACGCATGTTCTTCGTGTAGTTAATTGGTCAAAACAAATCGTGCCAAATTGAAAAACTTGTTTGGTCCTTCCTATAAAGTACTTGTTTAGCACACACTAAATTGCATTGTGCAAGGTCTCCAAAACATCACACAACAATTTCCAAAAAATTTATTTGGATCAGACGTGTCAAATATTTTATTTAGTTTGATGTTTATTGTCTCAAGTAATTCTTTTGAAACTAATGATACTTCATCTATTATATCCAGAATCAATCCTCTCATCCTATTTCGCATGGAATTCATATTTAAATCATTGATTTTACAGTCAATATTGTTTTTATCAAATGTCAAACCGAGTGCTGTATGAATTGTGTATCCACCTATTTTACATGCGGCCTTGCTTGTAAAGGCTATTTTAATCATGGCTGTTTTAAATCGAGGAGTATTTCGTGTTCTTTGTTCAGCTACACAGTAATTTTTCATTAGTTCTTCAATTATTTGGATGGTGAAGCCTTTACCACTACCGCCAAGGCCGTTCACTATTAGATGAAATGGTTTTGGTTTCTTAACATCTTTCGGTTGACGAACGTGCTCTAAAGTTTTCTGAAGATATTCACTAACGAAGTTTATCACTGTCTTTTGTTTTTCATGAACTCTATAATCAACTGCCGATTTATAACTGTTGGTTTTCATATTCAATATACCGAAACAATCTTTTATTTTGGAAAGTGCCTCATTAAAGGTCTTTTGCATTTCTGCTATTTCCTATACAACCAGAGAAATGATTAAGTGTGTGTGTAGATATATTTTATGTAATCGAAAGTCAACTAATAGAGCACTAGTGGTTCTTGCACATACCTCGGGAGATAATTTTATCGTTTGTGTCTCTATGTTATCTTTGAGTGTTTCAGCTTCTAACATCTCAGATTGGACGAATTCATCCTCTTCCTGAGTAAGTAAATACGACTTCCTTTCTCTAATACTGTTCGGATCAGTTTGAACTTTGATCAGTTTGTGTAGTAGAGTCAATGGTTGTATGCTATATGAGGTTGGAAACCTATTTAGAGTCATGATGTTGAATGTAGTCATAGTTTAAACACAATTGTCGATGTAGTGTTGAAAGTTCGGCTGTTTCACTATTTAAAAATTCCTTCCTAGGATCTTTGAACGGTACAGTAAGACATAACAGAGAATAGATCGCTTGCATTGGCTTGTTATGTTGGCACGCAAAACTTAAACGTTGTGGTTCCTTTCGCATCTTTATTAACCGTCCGTTACTGAGTTTAATTCTCGATAATTTTCTCCCAATTAGCTGAAAAGGTGGACTCAGAATGTCTTGTCTCCAACTAAGATTATTATGTATTTCCAAATTGTTTATTGTGTATATTTCATTATCTACATTGGCATAGGTATAACGTAGTGATTGATACCCTTGTCTTATTAACTTGGGTATACTATTTTCTTACCGGTTTTATCCTAGTCTGTTGCGAACCAGCTCGAAAACTCGAAAAGGTTCATCTCGTTAATTATTCAATTCTACATAGGTCTCTGTTGATAATGTTCAGAAATGAAATCTACAAAACAATTGTCATCCATTTCTTTCTGACCAGATCTATTTTTCTTCACTAGCCTTGTCCGATTTTCTGATAAGTCGATGTAAATGTGCGGTGTGATTTTACTAGTGTGGTAGAATGGTCATCCTAGTAGAGTCCAACACTAAAATCACAAAAAAGGAAAGTGTATATAAGATCTCTGAAGATGACAGTCTTACTAGCAGTTTACCATATTATCTAAGGACAGCTTTTCTCGAAATTTTGTTTGTAATTGATTTCAAGAACCTGGTTATACTATAGAATCCTGGGTATTCCTTTGCTTACTGCCTCAAGTTTGCCGATTTGTCGTTGACTCAGGATTGCATTGCCTGCTCTTAGTAACATACCTCGTGCTTCCTTTAATGAAAAACATGTACTATCCGCCATCTCCTGATCTATTGCTTTCTCCGTTTTGGCGTGCTTTGTATTGTGTCTGAACAAGTATTCTGCTGTAGAGAATTCATCTGTGATTATCTAGCTCCATAGATTAAAATGAAAGTTAGCAGGTCCTTCATTAATAATTAGTAGTCAATTTATTTAGTTAACGTACTTGGAAGTCATGATTACATTTAAATAGTTTCAAAATGTATTCATTGTATGGCACGATCCTTCTTGATTCTTCATGTTTGATTGCACGTTTCATTATTATGTCTCTATCACCTCTCATCATAATTCTTCGTTCCCTATACGATCAATAATGTGTTTGTTCAACCAAGTCCTCTGGAAGTCCGAATCGGTAACCCAGTTTTTCGTAGAACTCTTTTTTTTGTTGTTCTTGCATAGCTTTAATCGTCTCTTCGTCGAGTTCCTCCACGATATAGGTGTTGTACTCGTGACATGTAGTTATTTTAAGTTTTTTTCAGTATGTCCCTCTTGCGTTCCACTATCATCTTTGCTTTTTCGTTTCTTACTCTTTTGTCTCCTAAAAGAAAGTGAAGTTTTCGAAGAACTGTGTTCACTATGATAATAAACTAAATCTCGCTTCTGTAATCATGATGTTTTAGTATGGTTTAAACTTCATTACCTAATCGACATGTAAAAGTGTGTCGGTGTAATTGGTATATTTTCACTAATGCATGCATAATGGGTTTTAATTTTGTCTGGTATATCCGTTCTTAGAAACATATTCAAAAATTCTATAATTTCTTCTCGTCCTGCTTCTGTCTCAGTTAGGCATGCAGCGGTTTCGGTTTTAAACCGATTAACCGAAGCTAATCATAACCGAAACCGAACATAACTGAAAATGTTGAACAAGTTCTTGAAAATACGGTTTACATAATATGAAGGAAGCATCTGTAGTTCAATCAACAACTGTTCATCACGGAAGAATGATGCATAGAATCAGAAATAAGCCAAATAAGTGGTGTTTCTGACTTTTCGGAAGGAAGAATTGAAGAAAGAATTTCTCAAAATTGAGTTTAGCAGCAAAAGTGTGGCAAATTTAAACTGATATTTACTGCTTTTCATCGTGAAGATCGATTTGTATAAAGGTGCGCCCAACAAATAAAATCTAGGAAATCAAATTTGCCATACTTTTGCTGCTAAACTCAATTTTGAGAAACTCTTCCTTCACGTGAAAAGTCAGAAACACCACTTATTTGGCTTATTTCTGATTCTGTGCATCTTTCTTCCGTGATGAACAGTTGTTGATTGAACTACAGATGCTTCCTTCGCATTATGAAGGAAACCGTATTTTCAAGAACTTGTGCAACATTTTCGGTTATGTTCGATTTCGGTTAACCGAAATCGGTGCATGCCTAGTCTCAGTGGATGGGGGATCAACTACCCATAACAAACAATGAAGATGTGGTAGTCCATCCCTCTGAAATTCAATCTTTATGAAATAGTTCGAAAAGCTTTGTACGTGATCAAGAATAATTTTTCGACATTTGTGATAAATGCAATAAAAGCATTTATTCGACCATTAACTCTTGACAACTGTTTGGGGGCCCAGTTGGACTCACTGCAGTTTTTTGTTTCTCACTCGGCAGTATTCATCTCTTTCGAGCTACTCTCTTTCCTAACCGTCAATCTTCTATCCATGCACGCTACCCATATAAAGTCTCGTGAATAAGTCTTACAGACAAAAAACTGAAGTGTAGGTCCGTACAGACCCAATAACAACCATGGTTGTTCCAGCCGCCTTCTATCGTCCTTTTGGTAGATCAAACATTTCTGAAGAAAATAAGACGTCTCCGAACTCTCTGCAATATTTCTTCGTGAAACAGCATTCAAGTTACCGAAGGCCCTAAGGTCGTATCTTTCGTGTTTTCCCTTGAGTTCTACCGGTGTGGGGTCTTCCGTAAATTAAATGCTGTTTTACGAAGAAATGTTGTAGAGAGTTCGGAGATATCTTATTTTCTTCAAAAATGTTTTCTCTGCACAATGGAGCTATTTGCCAGGCATTTCTAGATTGAACTCGAGGACTTGGTTTTTTGATATCTTGATTTACCAGCGACCCTGGTTCGATGAATTTTGATAGAACCTCTGTACACAGCACATCAGATCGGAAATTCTTTCAGCTGTTCAATTTCTTCGAATCTGTTCTAGCTATTATGGTCGCCGAGAAAAATGAAAAATAAAGGTGGCAAATAAGTTTCGGAATTTGTATTTTTCCACGTGCCGCCCCTTCATTGAGAAAAGAAACACAACATCAATAAGTAAAACATACATCTTTTGTCTCTCAATGAGTTAGTAATATTGCTGCATGTTTTGCCATATCGCCGCAATCGTCGCTCGATACTTTTAGTTTGTCAATCAAATTCAAGCGCAATGAGATAATAACGATGAGAAATAGAGCAGCTTCGACACTGTCAAATAACATTTTAGGCAGTTTAGGAAATGTAATAGGATCGATATAAACTAAAGTAATGGAAAATGCAGGGATAATGAACATAAACAACATAACTATTTGACGGCATAAGTGAAAACGACTTTTTCTTCTAATATCAAGGAATGGACGATTATATATTGCATAAGCAGCGATATTAATTAAAAGTAAATCTCTCAATATTCGTAACTCTTCACGTTCAGCTAAATATTCAGTATGATAAATTATACAAACATCACTTTCGTCAAAATCCGGTAAGTACATGTCAATAATGTTGCATTGAATTATTTTATAATGACAATGTTGATCTTTATTTACACCAGCGTTTCACATTTATTTTAGCCATGGAATCCTTTCATAAAATTTAAAACTGTGCGGAACCCCAGTAGTATTTTGACGTAATATTTGACAAAAATTATTTAAGACTACGTAATTCTTTTTACTTGGTGAGATTAATTTTTATCTTCTTATTTTTTTCTGGCGGAACCCTTGATTTCACTTCACCGAACCTCAGGGTTCCATGGAACCTCATTTGGGATTTACACTATCCCACACAGCACGCACGCCAGGAGAAAATAAAAATAACACTGATACCCTAAATATAAGTCACTGTTTTAACATTGAATCAGAACTCAAATGACATTCTGCTGTAATGATGTTCTATAGAACAGAAGAGATTTGGACCCCCCCTCTATACGACTTTATCTGATTTTTGCTTTTTCTCTGTACCAATCATCATACTGAATGAAATATTAAATGGTTTTGAATGTTTGAATCACGTCGAATGTGCCAGTTAATAAAACGTGAGTGCTTTTGATAATGCCGTGCGAAATAGCGATTATTTTGCCAGCCATGATCAAGTGGTTCGGAAGAAGCACGACGATCTTGTGTTGTAGAAGTAATATCATCGTTATTCACATCATTTTCTCTGTGTATATCGACAACTGTAATATTCATTCTTATGCTATTCAAAGCGTAGAATTAGCTCTTTTGTTTGCTACAGATCTTTATGACAAACTTCTTTAAATCGTCAGATTCACATGAGTAATATAATTTATTCTGCGGAAAATGTCACGTAATTTACTTGAAGTAATTACGACAGTTTTTATTGTAAAGTTTTATTTTGAGAGGATGAAGTATGAAAACTTCAGTACAATTAATGAAAAGAAGGAGGCGAACCCATTAGTCTTTACCTGAGAATATATGCGTTCTGTAAATAAAGAAACGAACAAAGTTTCATCCTGTTAAACGAAATGAAATTACCGATTGCATACGTGACTCATTTTTTTTCTGATTTTATGACAAAAGTGCAATGAATCAACCCATTCTCATAAATCTGAACGTCATAAATCTGAAACAAATGTCCGATGAGTATCAAACAGCTGACTTGAACAGTATAGCTGATTGGTGGTGACTGCACAATAAGACTTTTTCCACAATCATAGGGTTTTGATGACTACCCAAGCAAAAGTGTTCTACGGAGAAATCTAGCCTCATCG